TAGATGGGACAATGGTCTAGAGGAGTGTTTCCCAAACCAGTCCTCAAGACCCACCAACAGTCTAGGATTGTCAGTATCTTCATTGGAATAAAACATGGAAATGCATAAATTCTTGGACGACTGGTTTGGGAACCACTGGTCTAAAGAGACGAAAGATAGGCAACCTTCAGCAGTCCCAATGTTGTGAACTACATCTTCCATAATGCTCTCACAGCCATTATGATGGCTAAGCATCAAGGGAGATGTTGTCCACAACATTCAGAATACCGAAGGTTGCCTACCCCTCTTCTAGACTAAAAGTAAAGAGAGATGGATGGAGAAATACAAAGGGGAGTGGCACTGTGGTGCCAAAGGAGGCAAAAGTGTGTTGGAATTGAGGCAAAGGGACACAAATAAGGGGAAGAAACAAAAGTGTATGGTAGATAAGAGGGAGTCACAAATTGAGTCAGTCTAGTTTTGTGTCAGTTATAAACAGTGACATATTACTTTTATGTGGCGTAATTTCATATCTATTATCACCATTTTTATTTTGTGTTTGCTGTAATAAAAACATAAACAAAAATAATAAAAAAAATACTGTGCAAAAATTGATTTATTAATTACATATTGTGTGGTAAGCATAATATTCCACAGGCAAATCAACATTTCTATTAAACGTACAGTACACTTTATTATTTATTATTAGCACTTTCTTGCTAATGCAAATAGAAAAGCTGCAGCTCAATACTTTAGGATGCAGACACGGCCAAAAGGTTTAGTTGCTCTTTGACCAAACATTACAATGGGAAAAACATGAACTTTGACCATACTGTAACTCTTGGTGCCTAGCATGGTGGTCTGATCATCTCATTAACAGCTGACCCATTGGAATTTTCACATACTACAAAACTCTAGAGTTTATAAAAATATTTTAAAAGAAAAATATCAACAAGAAATGACTAGACGGAAAGGCCACAAATACTAAAATAACCACTCTTTGCAAGTGAAGCAGTTGAAGGTATTTGTGAATGCAAGAAGCATATACACCCCAACAGACATCACTTCTGAAACAATCAAAAAAGGAAGATGAGGCTTTGGTAGGCACTACATTACCGAAAATAAATAATGATTGGAAAAAAAAAAAAAACATTTCCTGATATGTATGAGTTAGTAAGACATTTTAATAGGGAATTAATGGGAATTGGAAAAAAGAGCATGGCTTCAAAAGGTCTATTTAGCCTATTTATACTAGCTATACATGGGCATTGTTAGGGGAAACAATAAGAACTGAAGTCCCGAATGTGGGACATGTTCAGCTCCAGATCTTTTCCCCTGCCCCCGTGCCTATTATTAGTGTTAGTGGAATGTTTTGTGTAGGCCATTGAGAAACAACACTGTATACAATATATTTTACTGGTTTTCAGTCTTGCCTCTTGGGATTGTCTCTGTGTTTGGGATGCGACCTCCCAGCCAGCATGCATGCTTCAGAATATTACGGTGCACACCACAAAGTGAAGTAAGTGCACACTGCATCACTAATGTTTGAGCTGTGTGTGTTCACGGGTGAGTTACTGACAACATATGGGTATTTGTTTGTAAAGTGCAGGGAGAGTACGTGTGTGTGCATATACCTGAGACATCATGAGAAAAAAGAGATGGTTTTGGAAAGGAACGATTGGGAGCAGTGAAATATTGAAAACAAATTTGAACCTAGTAACACCATGCAACGATGCAAAATTTGAATCCTACCACAAACATCAGTTTACTCACCAGGTTCTTTTATATAGTTTGGTTTAACTTGATATCTTGGGTATGCCTAATGTAGCTCAACGTTTGCATGTAACCCAGTCCTACAATGTACTGGAGAATGAATGCTAGAATTAGTTATTTACCCACTTTGTACTGAATCTTATCTACTTTTTATTATTACAAGGTGAAATATTTTTTTTTTTTAAATCAGTTTAAACCACAGTCTATTCATCTGTTCTAATGGATAAATCCAGCTGGGCGGTGTTACAAAGCACACATCATTATGCATCAAAGGTATTCAAATATGACTGTGACTCCATTCTTCGAGATAATGCAAGAAGAAAAGCATTTTGGGATACATTTTATACACATCCATCTACATAGCTATATAATCATAAAAAGATACTAGTTTATATTTAATTTGCTAAAAAGACTCTAAATTTCATCAAATTTAGCTCGCAAGTTATCAGGTTTATGAAGTTAATGCAACTTTATTTTGCCAGTAATATTTTCTCTAGAATGTAAGCTCATTGAGCAGGGCCCTCCACCCCTCTGTTCCTGTACGTCCAATTGTCTGGTTAAAATTACATGTCTGTTAGTCCACCCAATGTACAGTGCTACGGAATGTGATGGTGCTATATAAATAATAATAATAAAATAATAATAATAATAATAATAATAATTTAGTAGACCGCAATTGAACACATTAAAAGTTGTATTTCTTTTAATTTTGTTTCCCTGCATGAAGGCAAACCTTGCTCCCATCAATCTAACACGCAATGACATCTATTGGTAAACACCTGGCTCCTTTAGTCTCAACATAAGCTTTGTTAAAAAACATGAATAAAATAAAGATTCATGTGGTGGATTGAAAAAAAAAAAACACCTGCTTTATGCAAGTCCAGGATACTTATAGTCCCCCACACAAAAACAAGTAGGGTAGAGTTGCCACCCTTCTTGGAAAAAAATATACTAATTATGCTAATTTGTATAATTATATATGTGTGACATCACAGGACATGATGTCACTGGATGTTACTTAACATCACAGGTAGTGAAATTAGAGAAAAAAACATTTGGAAGGTGAAAATTCCCTAAATCACTAAAACATCACTAAATACTGTGTCTGCTCCATCTGACTGTGAAGAAAGCATTGTGTATGGATGGCACTGTGTGTACACTCAGGGGCGGACTGACAGGTCTGGCAGATCGGTCATGGACCGAGGGCCCGAGTCAGTCAGGGGGCCCGGCAGCACAGCCATGCTTCTGCTGTGGAGATCAGATCAGAGATCTGATCTCCACATCAGTAGGAAGGTTGCTGGGGGCCCATAATGACTCTAAGGGCCCCTGCAACCCATCACTCTGTCAGTAAATCCCCCCCCCCATCAGTGTGAGACCTGGCAGCATACCTTGCTCTCACTGCCAGGTCTCTCCCCTCTCTCTCTCTCTCTCCCTGCAGCACTCAGTGCTCTGTGTGAGGATGGGAGGCGGGGCAGGAAGTGACATCCCCGCCTGCTTCCCTCTCACGTGGAGCACACTTACAGCGTGGATGGAGGGTGAGAACAGGAGCCTGGCCTGCCCCACTGCTGCTGGAGGGAGAAAACATCAGATTGTACAGGTAAGCAGGCCCATACACACACTGCCCCCCTATACACACACTGCCCCCCCATACCCACACACTGCCCCCCCGCCCCCACACATACACTGCCAACACACACACACACTGCCCACCCATATATACACACACTGCCCCCCACACACTATACACATTCACACACTGCTCCCCCATACACTGCCAACACACACACACACAGCCCCCATACACACATACACTGCCCCCCATACACACACACACACACACACACACAGGTCACCCATATACACACACACTGCATATACTGCCCCCATACACACACTTCCCCCCATACACACACCACACATACACACATTGCCCGACACACACCATCCACATTCACACACTGCCCCCCCATACATGCATTGCCCCACATACACTGCCAACATGCACACATACACAGCCCCCCCATACACACATACACATTTCCCCACACACATTCACTCACTACACCCCCCACACACACTGCAACCCTCACACATTGCTACGGAATGTGATGGTCCTATATAAATAATAATAATAAAATAATAATAATAATAATAATAATTTAGTAGACCGCAACTGAACACATTAAAAGTTGTACTTCTTTTAATTTCATTTCCCTGCATGAAGGCAAACCTTGCTCCCATCAATCTAACACGCAATGACATCTATTGGTAAACCTCTCAGACACACCACTGCTCCTATGCCCTACTAGAGTCTCATATCCCAGCAGCCCCAGGTAAGCTGTCAAACGGTTCTTAAACGGTTTGACTGCTTACTTTAAAGTTATTTTTAACATTTACTTAGTCCTTAATGGACCACTATAGGCACCCAGACCACTTCAGCTCAATGAAGTGGTCTGGGTGCCAGGCCCCTCTAGTTTTAACCATGCGCTGAAACACAGCAGTTTCAGACAACCTGCTATGTTTCACTGAGGGTTAATCCAGCCTCTAGTGGCTGTCTCACTGACAGCCGCTAGAGGCGCTTCCACCATTCTCATTGTGAAAATCACAGTAAGAAGACGCTGGACATCCATAGGAAAGCATTGAGTAATGCTTTTCTATGGGCGGTTTGAATGCGCGCACGGCTCTTGCTGCGCATTCAAATCTGACATCGGCAGAGGGAGGAGAGTTCCCCAGCGCCGAGGGAGCCCGGCTCAGGTGAAAGGTAAGTGGCTGAAAAGGTTTTAACCCCTTCTGTCCAGCGGGAGGGGGATCCTGAGGGTGGGGGGGACCTAATGACCCTATAGTGACAGGAAAACAAGTTTGTTTTTCTGGCACTATAGTGCACCTTTAAAAATTTGGCTTCAAAGGGCCCCGGATCTAATTTTGTCCAGGGGCCCAGAAGGCTGTCAGTCTGCCCCTGTGTACACTGTTTCAAAGTTTGTGTGCTTAACAGTATGTATAGCGGTGTGTGTACATCACTGAGTGTGTATACTGTGTGTGTTTGTTGCAGTGCAAATCATATATAATTGATATGCCAACTATGGCACCAATATAATATTAAGTTTAGGTAACATAAAAGTTGTCTTTATGTGGTCAATTATGTAGACAATGTTAGTGATTTTTATGTATCAAATATGTTTAATATATTAATAATACAAGTTGTATTTATCTTATTTTTAATTTTGCTAATGCAGAATGGTTTGGGACTTGAATAACCCCAATATAACATTTTGGTCTCAATGTCTATAATTACAACTAATTGCTGCCACATCATTTTGGCTTTATTAAAACAGAATTGTATTGTTATAGGTAAGTTTGAGAAAAAAAAATACTTAGCATACAGTATGAGTCAATAACAGCCTATAGTAATTAAAATGGGAATTTAGTGTGCTATAATGCTGGGTTGATATTTATATTTAGTATTAAGACACTAAAAGAGGAAAATAAAGTCTATTAAAACAAAAACAAAAAGAATTGATAGAAAATAAACGGGGCCGAAAGATTTAAAGAATGGGCATTGAGCTAAGGAATATGTGGTTTGGTTTAACATTGTCAGCAGGGTGTTTAACGGTTAGTAAAAACAAACAGATCTGGTAATGCCTTCGCTAGTAAAGCTCTGGTTCAGCCCTAGAAGTTTAAAACTAAACAATTTAATTCAGGTTTTTAAATATATACATTACGTGTTTGTTTTTTTTGTAACTGAATCAGTGGGTTGCTTTGTTGTGTTTATCCCATTATCACAATTACTTTGTAAACCAGGAGTGGTACCCTTGCACCATGTATTACCGGTATGTTGAGCATTAGTGATGTCGCGAACCGTTCGCGAACTTCCCGTGAACTTCCCGCGAACGTCTCGCCACGGTTCGACATGGATGCAGCTTCAACATGGATGCTGTCCAGGAGGTGGGAGGGTCTGGGAGGGAGGGTCTGCTGGAGATTGGCAGGGATGTGTCAGCTGACCGGAGCTCGCCACGAACCGTGGCGAGCCGTTCGCGGGAAGTTCGCGAATGGTTCGCGACATCACTATTGAGCATTAGGGCAGCGGATTAAGTAAATTCAATGTAACAATCATGCTTTTCCCCTTAGCTAAAAATACACTAAAACAAAAAGCATGTTTTGCTATACATAGCTCTCAGCTGCAAAGGAACAATAACCATGGAATTCCCCAACTTGATCTGTAACTGAAATATGTGAACATAATGTATCTATGGTTTTCTATGCAATATGAGATAAAAGTATCTACCAAGAGCAAAAGCATCACCATAGTGATGGGCATTTACACATAAACTAAATTTTTAATGGCAAAATGCATGTTTGCAAACATGTAACACATTTAACACATATCTATTATATTACAGTACTGAATGACACTCATTTAAAAACATTTAAAGGGCACTTAACTAAAATGAAAAGATAGTTCTAATGTAAACTGTAACATTGAGTGAGTTAGTGGCAATTTCTTACTGCTGTCCATATAACTCATGTTGCCAACTGTGCCTGTCTGTAAATTGTTAGATTTATAATATTGAACATTCACACATTAAGAAGAACAACTTGGCTTAACAAGCAAATCAGCTGTCACTAATTTGCCATCTGTTGCAAATGAGGAGATGTAACTTGTTTATTATTTTAAAGGCTGCTACTGGTTAGACAGCATGTGTAGATACCAAGCTACAGAAAAACAAGATAAGGAACATTTGTATAATCAGTATAGGGATAGATAAATTTGATAAGTTGACAGTGACAGTTTCATATCTTTAAATGTACAGGTTTAGGTATAGTGGCTTTAGATAATTTAAAGGGATACTCCAATCAAAAACAGTGTGTTTTTTTTTTGTTTTTTTTAAACACTGTTTTTGGAAGGAGTAACCATCGCTGGTATGGTCACTTGCTGTAACCCTTGCTGGCATGTAAAAGAAGAAAGAAAAATGGAAAAACCGTACCTGCAATCCTATGCCCGAGGCCAAGTTCTACTAGCAGCCCAAACCTCTTCCGGTAACGTCACTCCCCTTCCCTGGTGGGGGAGGGATGACTCAGTGGATGACCTCAGGGCAAATTCCTAGAACTCTATTCACTAAAATAAGCCATAGTTTCGATGGTGCTTGGAGTTTCCCTTTTACATACTATTTATGGTGCTATAGTGCATCCTATGTTACCAACTCCAAATCAAATTTTACAAATTCATTAGAGTAAACAATGCTTAGAGAAAAAAAAAATGGAGTTGTAAGAAATGCCAGATGCTAACAAATGCCTTATGATACTCCTTGGAGCCTGGGTCACCTGTGCCACACACCTCCTTTCTGTTTCCAGTGCTGAATGTTCACCTCCTAGAGTCATTTGCAGCCATGCAAAATGGGAACTTCTTGGGAATGTTTGGAAAAGTTAAAGATATTTTTTCCTGTCAGGATTACTTTTCCCCCTGTCTTTGTGATATCACTTCAATTTTGTTACAAGACATCCACATATTCCTAGCTTTACCCTATCTAAAACAATAGGAGCAACAAACTGATATATAATACATTTGTGGTTGCCTTTAAAAGAAACCAAAGAGTCCCAAAAATAACAACCATTATTTTGGGACTATAGGTTCCGTGTTTCTGTTCCCTTCTGTGACATCTCCTGCGATCTCCTCCAGTCCACTGCTTATCACAGAGAAGTAATGGATTGGAACTAGGCATGCATGGGCAGTGGCGTACCTACCACAGTCGCAGGGGTTGCAGTTGTGACAAGGCCCCTTACTGGATGGGGCCCGGCCACAGCCACGACCACTGCGACCGTGGGCTGCCTATATGCAGCCCCCTCCATGTTCCCCCTGTCATAGGGGGGCCCAAGAGGTGGCCCACTGGCCAACTAATGGACCCCCCTGGTGGGCAGCAGAGTTCCTGTCAGACGCGGCGAGGGAGCTGTGTTCTCTCTGCTCCCTCACGCGCCGTTTGCTGATGCCGGGATCCAGAATATGACGTCATATTCTGGCTCCCAGCATCAGTAGACAGCCTGCGAGGGAGCAGAGCAGAGAGAACACGGCTCCCATGCCGCGTCTGACAGGAACTCTGCCGCCCACCACAGTGAAGCCCCACTGGACCCCAGGGACAGATCCACGCCAGCTCTCCAGGTAGGGAGATTGAGTGGACATTTAATATTAATAATTTGTGTGTGTCTGTGAGTGTGTCTGAATATGTGTGTGTGTATGTGTATGTGTGTGTCTGAATGTGTTTGTATCTGTAAGTGTATGTGTGTCTGAGTGTGTGTGTATGTGTTTGTCTGTGAGTGTGTGTGTGTGTCTGAAAGTGTCTCAGTGTGTGTATGTGTGTGTCTGTGAGTGTGTGTGCCTGTAAGTGTATGGATCTGTGAGTGAGTGTGTATGTGTGTCTGTGAGTGTGTGTGTGTGTGTGTGTGTACGTGTGTATATGTCTGAGTGTGCGTATGAGTGTGTGGGGGTGGGCGGGGATGTGTGGGGTAGGAGGTAGATGTATGGGGCGGTGGCCCAGGACAATTTTCGCACCGGGGCCCCGTGGTTTCTAGTTACGCCTCTCTGCAAGGGCAAATGATGCACTCCTCCAATCGAATTCTGCTAACAGCAGCACTTTATTCCCAAACCACGTATTACTAGGGAAGGAGGAAGCTCCCCTAGATTCTGTCAGGAAGAAAGTCTAAAAACTTGTTTAAAAAAAATTTAAATGACAGGTCACTGCACATAGAGAACTTCATTGAGGTGTTCCTTTAATATGAAGGAAGGTCATGGCAAGAGTTGTGTGCCCCATGAAATGTATGTTATTTCCTCACATACAGTACAGTGTGTTTTCCTATTCATTCAGAAAGAAACAGCTTTTGTATTTTTTATTATTATAACTATTTAATTGCACACTTACAGCAAATGGTTGCCAATAGCCATGTTTCAGAGTAAGCACAAAGCAATTTAGTCAGATAGGTCATTAATATTTCCCCAATAATAATTACATGAAATAAATCTTTCAAAAATATTGTACTTCTGCAAGTTTTCACATATATATGGGAACGATTCATCAAGCTTTATTAGGTGTAACACAGGCTGAAAGGTCCCTGTGCATGTAAACAGAATATAACACACTTTGATGAATCATTATAATTGCTGCCACCAAAACGTGCCAAACTGTTTATTTTATCATTAAAGGGACACTATAGTAACCAAAACTACTTTAGCTTTTTGAAGTAGTTTTTGTAAATAGAACATTCCTCTAATGTTTCCCTTCTCAATATTTTTTTTAAATTCTCAATGACCTATCGGGCATTAGCAAATAGGTCCCCTTCCCTTATAAAAGCTTAAAAATAAAGAATAAACTTACCTGGAATCCAGCACGAGGCAAACCTCCCCAAACTGGTTTCCACTGACCTGTTGACGTGACTGCCTTCCTCTCGAGGGTCAATCAAATGCTTTTCATAGAGAAGCATTTGATTGGACCTTTCTCCCCGGCTAAGAGATAGAGGGAATAGGTGTTTGTTCAAGGAAAGGAAGGGTAAAAACCAAAAACGGACCAATAAAAAACAGGGGGCAGTTGGAGGACTGGCAGGATCAGAGGGCATATTTAAGCTTCCCCTTGTAGGCACTGCCTGCAAAGGTACAAGCTGACCAATTAATTATATTGCCAGTGGGCAGAGATGACAACATACTTATTTTTTGCACAGAATTCACATTAGGAAGCCCAGCACAGAGTTTTGGGCTTCCTAAGTCACATGTGTTGGGGGGGTGCAACTAGCCCCGCCACAAAAATAAATACATATCAGTATGTTCAGCAAAAATGCTAAACATACATACTCCTACCAAGGTTGGATTAACCCTATAATAATTGTTACAAACCACAAAATGCTCGCTGATGTGAATTTATTTTTATCACAGTTTATTTGAGCGGACCTGTGTTATCTCAATTGGATAATGTTCCAGAATGAGCCAAAACTGGGGATTTTTACTAGTAATATGTATATATGTACTTTAATAAATGGGATATTGGTGCTAAAGAGATAAATATAAAAATAATACAATAAAGCATGTTTAACCACTTATGGCAACAATTGTCAGTCCATGCAGCTATAAAACTTTTTACCCTATTAAAAAACAGAATGCCCTACTTATAAAACAACAGCAGGGCTCTATAAAGCTGCCAATTTTAAATATGGAAGGTAGTCAATGCAGGCATCAAGTCTTCAGGGACTATATTGTGATTTGGGCAAAAAATAATATTAATCTTAAAAAATTATTTAGCAAAATATATGGATTGAATCAGGACATTAAAAAGGACCTTTGAAATTTACGTGACATGGATTTCAATGTTGAAATCAGTATATCATATATATTAATAAGATTAGGATGAACTCTGCCCTTGTAGTCTTGTTTACACGAGCAACTGTCAACATGACAGCTGCTCCGAAACACAACTAGTGTCTCAGCACTGTCTGTCAATCATGGGAGAAAGTATCAGGTGTTACATACCCCATAGTCCATGTATTGCGGGTGCAGTTTTACAGCACAAACAGTTTTGATAACCATAGGTTAATAGGTTGCCAGTAAAACCAATCCAATCTCATCACAATGTAATACATTTAATAACGATAAAATAGAACAAATTTTCACTACCAATATACAAACAAGGAATTGTGAAGAATTAACAGAAGAATTCCTTAGTTAGATGAACTGGGAAAACAACAGTTACAGAATTTTATTATTTTGGCCTAAAATGTACAATTTACTTTACTCAGTTATGTAGAATTTTGGTTGTTTAAACAAATTTAGTTGGTTTTATATAAAAACGATTAATGTTTTTACAACAGTGAGAAATATTTTTGATTAAAAAATATATTTAAGAGCAAACAATACAGAGTGTACTTGGAAAACACACTGGGTCCCGTGAGAACTTAAAAACATTATTTAAATTCATGCTGGTGTAGAATGGCAAGACGGTTAACACAAGGTAATTATTAGCAAAACTGGCTCAACAACTCAGTAGCACAGCTCCTGTTGCTCTATATTCATTTTACCATTGCAAACCTATTTTTTGCAAGCATGTATACAACTGTTATTGATTCTAGTATAATGCTATTTCCCCCAGGTTTAAAACATGTTATAAAAAATACAGCCTTTTTGACGAGTGTGTTCAACATAAGATGTTTTTGTAATCCTAGCCCACCTAAGACACAGCATTACAAAATTCCAGATATATAGCAGCCTGCTAAGGGAGGAAGTCCACCCTAGGTAAAAGGAAGCAGTGGGGTACACAGAGCACCACCTCTTGACAGAGCAGGCACCTGCCTACCGGCACATTGCTGGTGGGATAGGTGTGTGCTATGGTGCTATAGTATTTGGCTGTAAAATGGGCAATGTTGGCTGGCTGCAAGGATCCGTCTGTACTTAGCACCCAGCTCCCTCGAGTGCTCTGTATTGATACTGGGAGCCAGTATGTGACGCCACTCCATCACTGAGCGCAGTTCAGAGCTGGGGAATCAACTGAGAGATAACAACAGGGAAGCACTAGATTCCAGGGATGAGCTTTTACTCCAGCTCCCTTTTGTGGTAAAAAAAAAATGGTAAAAAGTGTTTGCATTTGTGTACGAATCTGTGTGTCTTTTTTTTACATTTGTGTTTGTGTACGAGTCTGTGTGTATGTGTATCAATGTATTTAAATGAATGTTTGAGTTTGAGTGAATAAAATTGTGTGTGAATATGTATGTGTAAATGAATGTGCAGTTTCCATCCCTTTGACTCAATTCCCCATTTGGAAGTGATGAGACACCAGTCAAGATTTATACACCTGTACATTTTCCTTATACTCCACTGCTGAGTTGATCTTCTAATTGATTTTTTTGTTTTTCAAGTGGAAAATGGAGGTGCTATTGCTCATGCAGGAATATTTACATCACCGTACAGAGGAATGAATAAGAACAGGTTTACACAACATCATATGAGAGACCAAGGAGTGGCTGAAATATCACATTCAAAATGTGTTGCTTTTTTCATGTAGCAATATTGCTATTAGGCATAAAATGTGTGGTAATTATTCACTGGTGTGTTCCAGTAATTATATGAATTACAGATGTGTTAATGAATGCCTCAAAACATGGGAGGTACAAAAGATATGGGTGGGCTTTAAGGGGGTTGGGATCAGAGGTGTATATGGCCATCTGAAAAGGAGGCACGTATGCATACATCCCAACATTTTAAATGGACGAAGTGGAACGCTTACTGCCCCTGATGTGCTCTTTGTGGGTAGTAAGCTGAGACGGGACTCTTAATTCAAGATGAATATGCCAACCTAAGAGTTGAGGAACACTCTAATATAAAAAATAAAAAAAATTATAATAATTTATTTTAGAAGGAAGATGTATTCCTTTATAATATAGTTGCAAAATATAATTTGGCCGTAATCCAATGCAGAGAAAAACTCTGCTCTCCAGCCTGATCCACCAACTGTGAGATTATCATTCATGAGAAGCATGAGCTGTACATGGCATCCTCTTGCTGGGCATGACAACGCTGAGCATGAAATCTTTTCAAATCAAAGGATGTAAGTAGGAAGCACCTCTAGTCAATCTCAACATTGCTGTTTCTCAGAAATGGCAGCATGTTATATTGTATGAGAAAAGGTTTTGATGCTTAGTGTGTCCCTTTAAAGATGCACTTGCACTAAAAGTCATTTGAATTAGATAACAAAATTTGTACTTGCCACTAGCCACTGGTGAGTGAAAAGTTAGCCCTGGTGGGTATGCTATGGCTTACAGTGGCAAATTACCTTTAAGGCCTGGTAGTAACATAGGGCTTTAAATTGTAAGCCCTAATATCATTGCTATTTCAAAATAAAACTCAGCACTAGACTGAGATTCTTTTGTTGCAATTTGTCCAAATCTGGGGTGATCATTTGATTGTACAAATTTCCGAACTTTGAACCAAAATGTAGCCAAATCACAAACCAAATGAAATTCACAATGGACTGCCATGTTCATTTTGATTTGTGATTTGGAATTCCATCCAAGCTACCAAAAAAATTAACTCAAAGGGAAAAAGTTGATTGATGGCAAGAGGACAGTCACCAAATCTAAAGTTTCATTAACTAAGCAGTACATTTTAAGCCAATTTAGGCAAACTAAAAAAATTATTATTTTTGGGCTAAGGTAACAAATATTTGTAAATAGTTATTTTAGCCTTAAGAAAAACTGTAGCTTTAGAAACATATCTGTGTTCCTAACGCTACAGTCCTGATGCCTCTTAATATTTTCTTATCGTCCCCATCTGCACAATTTTTGGGGGGAAAAATCTGGGAAAAAAATAAACAAACACATTACTCGCCAAGTCTACTTCAGTGCTGCTTTGACCTCCTCCTCAAACCAATCCAATTCAATGAGCACTCGCCGTGATGCGACTACAATTCCTCCATACAGAATCACTGTATTCAATGATTGTCTATGGCACTTGCGCGTGACCTCACGATATGTTATGGTATGGAAACTGGGAGCCCCAGAGGGCTAAGAGACGTCACTTGCAGCCCCACTTCCAAGCATTCTACTTAGTTTAATATTGAGTTTCGGGAGTTTGGATGTAGGGCAGGACTGCAGGCACTATATCAGCTTCAATAAGATGATGTTGTTAAAGAGCCTACAGTGTCCCTTTAGTTTTGCAAGTCTGTTACTAAATCACTGTTTAGTGAATAAGTAACAAACTTTCCTATAATCCCAGTGACATAACCGTGGATAATGAAAATGTGGGCTGACAGACCGAGTACAACAGTCTACATTCCCAGAGTTCGAATACCTTTAACATATAATTTTTCCCAGAGGATGGAAGGCCTGAAACAAATTAAAACTGTACATTTGTACTGTTCTTGTCCTTTTAAGAGAGAATAATTCTGAGAAGCATATGTCTGTGAGTTAAATGCATCTGTTATGGAATGCCACATGTAAACGATGCCTTTTTCAGAAGACAACAAGTACATTGTTAGGGTAAAATAAAGCATTTTATAAGTTAGCAGCACTTTTTAACACTGTCAGTCATGATTGTTTTTTAAGTAAATATGTTCTGTCATGTATATGCTTCTTTAACACTACAACAAAGTTTTCATTATCAGCTTTCCAAAGGAAAACATAACATGTGGCACAAATCATTTACTTTTCTCCTTTCAAATTTTGATTAGATGAGATTTTACAAAATAGGGGGAAAATATGCTTTTTGGCATTACCTAGTTTCAAATAACAATATCTGTACTGTTTCAAACTTTTTTTCCAGTTCTGAAAGTTTTTAAAATAGATATATAGTTTATGCCAGAGGGAGGGTAAGGACAGTAAAGATACAAAATGTGCAAACAGCAACTTGTTACACTATAAAATAATTTTAAATGAGAACCATTGTTTCATGCTCATCAAATAATTGCCAGCAAAACGGCATAAATATCTGCTACTGGAATACATAATGTTGGATGAATAATTACATGTTAAAAGGATTTAAGTCCGACATAATACCCTACCTGATTGATGGTGCCTGTGGGAGGCGGAGACAATTGTCTTCGGTGACTCTCTCTGTCATGCAGAGATGGTGCTGACTACCTAATGAAAACCCCAGTCAAACTATGTTTGAGACCACCTAATTGAATGAATACCCAGAGGGCAGACGAGAACAATTTTGTCTATTTTCATTAAGTGTCTCTTACATTTTTCTCTGCGTTTATTTGCATATTCTTAGACTTTCCTTAGGCCTAAAAGGTCACGCCTTTCTCTGCCTAGGCTGTAGGGGGTTTCAGCCATACCTTACTGATGAAGACTATAAATGGCTAATATGATAATCTGGGCTTGCAAAAATTCTGAACAGTTCAAAAAGAGGAGGCATGCTATGTCACCATTGGCACACAAGCACCCCAAAGAGGAATGTCAACTCAATGCTCCTTCCAAGGCAGCCCATTTGTACAGCCCTACTTAAGAACGTGAACATGTGTATAGAGGTTGCTTGTGGTATTATGTGTGTGTGGTAAGCTACTTGTGGTGATGTCTGCATGTAAGGGTTGAATGTGTGTTTTAAATGGGATTGTCTAGTCTGTCTGTATGTGTATCTGGATAGAGGCAGTAGTATGTGTGGTGGGGAGGATAGTGACTGTACTATATTTGTGGATAGGGGATGGTGCAGAATGTGTCCTTTTAACAACAAGACATTATCAGCAAAGATGTAACTAGAAACTACAGGTCCCCAGTGCGAAAACTGCCCTGGGTCACTCCCCCATACGTCTACCTTCTCGCCACCCTCCCCCCATATGTCTACCATCCCCTTCCCATATGTCTCCTCCCCCCCACACACATGTAAACAGATACACATATAGATACACACACATACAGAGACACACACATACTCAAAGACACATACATACAAAGACACACAAACACATACATACAAACACACACAGAGACACATACATACAGACACATAGACAGACATACACACACAGACATACACACACACACACAGAGAAACATTCATACAGACACACATACACAAACACACACACATGTATACAGACACATAGAAAATGGTTGTCACCCTCCTGTTTCCTACCTTTTAGGTGCAGGAGGGTGACGTTCCCTGGGGTCAAGTGGCTCAGCCTGATGGGAGTCAGAGTTCCCACTCAGACTCCCTCCTCTCCTTCCTCCTCCCGCGTGGCTCCCAGTGCAAGCTTGGAGGAGTGACCGGGGCAGTCAATTCCTCCCAGCCTCTGACCACATCAAAGGAGGCCCGGTCGCGCTGTTAAAGCCCCTGGAAATACATAGCATTGGTGGCCCTAACAGCATGGGCCACCCGATGGCCCCTGAATGAGCGGCCCCGGCGGGCAGGGATCCGTAGGGCCCCTTGGAGTGACTGGCCTGGTCTCAGCTGCGACCCCTGTGACCATGGTAGTTCTGCCACTGGGGGCAGATTCCTTACGTCCTGCAAGTTGTGAGGTGGGGCCTCCACATTGATTTCAGCACATCCCAGAGATACTCAATTAATTTGAGATCTGAGGCATATGGAGGCCAAGGCAAAACCTTGAACTCTTTGTCATGTTCCTCAAACCATTCCTGAACAATTTTTGCAGTGTGGCGGGTGCATTATCCTTCTTAGAGAGGTCACTGCCATTAGGAAACACCATTGCCATGAAGGGGTGTATGTGGTCTGCAACAACCTCTAGGTAGGTGGTACATGTCAAAGTAACCACATGGATTTCCCAACAGAACATTTCCCCGGCATAACACTGCCTCCACCAGCCTGCCTTCTCCCAATGTGGAATCCTGCTGCCATCTCTTCCCCAGGTAAACAATGCACATGTACCCATCTATTCACCTGCTTTAAAAGAAAATGTGACTTATCAAACCAAGCAACCTTTTTTCATTGATCCATAGTCCACATTTGAAACTCACATTCATACTAAAAGCGATTTTGGCGATCGACAGGGGTAAACAGTGGTCATCATTGGCACTCTGACCGGTCTGTAGCTTTGCAGACCCATACGCAGCAAACTGCGATACATGGTGTGTTCTGACACCTTTCTATAATGACTAGCATTACGTATTTTAGCAATTTCAGAAACGGTAGACCTTGAGTGTGATTGGACCAGATGGGCTAGCCTTCGCTACCCAAGTGCATCAATGAGCCTTGGGCGACCATAGCCCTGTCACCTTTTCACCACTTGTCCTTCTTTGCACCACTATTTGTAGGTACTAACCACTGCATACCTGGAACACCCCACAAGACTTGCCATATGGAGATGCGCTGACCCAGTTGGCCCTTGTCAAAGTCACTCAGATCTTTATGCTTGCCCATTTTTCCTGCTTCCAACACATGAAATTCAAGAACTGAATGTTCACTTGATGCCTAATATGTCACACCCCTTGACAGGTGCCATTGTAACACTATAAGCAAAGTTATTATATTCAGTTGTCAGTGGTTTTAATGTTGTGGCTGATAGTGTAAATGTATTTTTACCATGAACTGATTTCAATATGCATAGGACAGATATAATGTTCTCTAAGCATAAATATGCTGATATGGTAATAGCGACTAAAATATCACCTAATGGCAATGAGACAAATTTACAACCCTGCCTTGTTCATCTGTAGCAAAACTCATATTCGTAAGATTTTATTTACAACACATCTAGTCATGACAGCTGTCCACCCCTAGCCAATGAGTGGGAGACATCTTTACAGCAAGAAAAAAGTTCCCACAAGGCTTAGGAGACTGAGGATTCCAATCTAATCTGGTCATCTCATTGCTAAAATAAGTTGACATGAGTTTTATACAGTGAGAACATTTTCCATTGTTATTTCATAAGCACAGGCCATGCAGCATGCAAAATTCTCACTTACTTTGCTGGCCCTGTTTCTAAAAATAACTGCACAAAGCTGCAGTCACTAAACAAAGAGTTGCAGTGACCGGATAACCAAATGCAAAGTCTAAGTTAAATTAGCCAAGCTAGCCACAACTTCGTAATGGCTGTGACCTCAATAGCTTATTGTTTAGAGAATGAACTCTAAAAATGTATTTAGATTTAAGATGTTTAAAGGAACACAATAGTTTTAAAGTACAAACATGTTTTCCTAACACTATAGTGCTGGAATGCAGGATAAGATCCCTCTATCTCTGGAAATTAAAAGTAGCTTTAAACACCTTTTCTACCATGCCGCACCGGTCTTGCAGCGACTGGTCCCGCCTGGCTCTGCCTCTGTGGCTGAAATCATTAATATACTGCGCATACAGAGCCACGCCATTCAGTATCTCCTCATAGAGATGCATTGAATCATGCAGAGCGTGGAGACGCTGAACGCCAGTGCTGCACACTGTCCAGCACTGACCCAGGAAGCACCTCTAGTGGCGATCTGAGTGACAGCCACTAGAGATGTTACTAGGCAGCAATGTAAAACTGCCTTTTCTCTGAAAAGGCAGCCTTTACAGTGCTCAGCCTGCAGGGTCAGATGTGAGATGAGTGATAGCTCATCTTGCTCCTAAAGCCCATCCACCTCCCAATTGCTGAACATGAAAACAAGGGAGTGCTGTACTACAGAGGGTAGCAGTAGGTGGACAAGGGGGGAGAAAGGGTTGGCATGCACGAGAGTACAACACTGAGGTCTACGTTAGATCCAATAAGTGCAAGGGATCCTCCATAGAAAGAGTCTGAATTCCACCGCCATCATTTGTGACAACTGTTGGAATTGGACAAAAGTTGATGGTGGAGCTCTGCCTTTTGTCAGCTATTGTCAACCTCAAGCTTTTGTCTTATGGTATCTTTGGATCGCGTTGGAATTTCAATGAAATTTTAATGCAGTCTTGGTCATTATTTCATAAAGAATATATCTATGAAAACTGACAAGTGACAGATTAATTATAAATGTCATAGTGTGATACGATTAGTACTGAAACTATATAATAAACATGAATTTACTATAAGGACTTCTGGTTTGCAGCCCATTCTAGTGTATGGAAATGCTTGCAGAAAATATGGATGCTTTTTAAATAACAACGTAGCATCTATGTATCAAGAAATGTCAGTACAAAAGTAACTTATAAAGTTACTAGCAGAGAAAGAGAGAGGCACGCGTTCCATGTATAAACAGAGACCTCTAGCAGCTGGCGAGAGAAGCTTTGGCAGACAAGTTAGGACAGAAAGGCCTCCCAAATCTGCATGTTTCAGGACCCAGATTCAATGCAGTGTTTACCATGAGCAGGGCTGGGGAGGGGGGTTACTAGAGGATAATACATACTATTATGAATATGTATTACATTGTCATTTCTAATTAAAATGCACAGACTATTGTAATAGTAAATTATACGCTTTCCTAAATGTATTTTTTTAAATTACTGGAGTTCACGAGTCTGCTCAGTTTGCTGCTATGATCCCAGCCTAAATAAATTTAATTAAAAAAATATATATTAATAATAATAATAACAATGAAATCTTACTGATGTGAATATTATTGGACATGTGTTATTTTAAAAAAAAATTATTTAATTTATAAATTGATCAACTCCACATCTGGCTCTGGGAGGGTGACCTGTTGAATACCCTTGTAAACTTTTATAATATAAATTATCATTAGTTTAATCATGACTATTTTATTTATTTGTCACAATCTGTAATCTAATGGGTTTTTTTACCCTATGTTTTGTCCATGTTTCTTCAGCATGCTTAGTTTTCGCGTAAATCGATTTTATGAAACAGAGGGGTAAATAAATAAAAATAACACACTGGCATAGAGTGACAAGGATATACCAATGAGTGAAAGATGAATTAAATAGGGACAGCAGTAGCCAATACTGCAAGTGTAAAATGTTGGACTTCAAATAAATAATTGTTGCTTTATCTACATTCAATGAAAATGTAAAACATATGATACATAAAGTTTATGTAAAGGGGCCTACATGCTTGTTTGGGGGAAACAGAACAGTATATAAAGTGAGGGCTGCCTGAACAGGGGCACACATTACATTCATGTCCTCAGTCTAAGTTGAGATTCAGGTTCCACTGTAACCTTGAGGTGGCTCTCCCAGTAAGTTGCAAGCACCTCCCAAAAACTCTCATTTGGAGCAGGCTTTCAGAATAGCAAGCTAAACAAGGCTAGAAACGCTTTCACTGACAATACACAAGTTGATCACCTCCTCCTCCCACCTACCCACGACCTCGTCCCTGTCTGGCACGCAAGGGGTTAACATAACCATGAGATCACTGAGTAGATTGAAAAAAAAACACACATCAGAAAATGTTAAGCATATCATCTCGTACCTTTCATCCAGTCCACTACTTGAGTTGGGGTCCACTTTGTAACAGGATCCATTTTGTCCAATAGGGGTTTATACAATATCCTCTTCCCAGAAAATACAGATTATTTCCCGGGGGATTCGATGTCCTATAGTGCAGCACGTCCTCTGATTAACTGATGTTTTATATTGAAAGATTGTATCCAGACTCAAGTACCCATTGCTCCATTTCCTGGGCCTCACACTCCTTGCTGTGATCACACATAGATGCAAAAAAAATACAGTCACCTGTCCCCTTGATGTGTCTGAGAGTCACAGGAGGTGAGCCTGCTCTCCTGGTATTCTCTGTCTAGCAGTTTAGACCCTCCTGTTTCCAGCCAGTATCCACCTCCATGCAGCTGACTCTCCTCCCTGATACTATTGAGAGAGCTTCTCCAGCAGTCAGACCCAGACCTGCACTCTATCCTTTGTCACATTGCCCGGCCCTCTCTAGACTCCAAGTTCCTCCTCTGGCTTTTCAGTTCTTATTTTCACACGTTGATCCCTCCCCTCTATGCAAACAGTGCTCTGAAGGCTTTCATTACCCCAGTCCCCTTGTTCAGTGATGTTATGGTAGCATGCTGCTGGGTTTCTCATTCAGCTGATTTATGTTTACAACACTAGAATTTTGGAATGTCTGTTTCTACTTTGGTTTTTTTTTTTTTTATTAAAAAAAAATCATTATATATGCATATTATTATCATTATTTATATGCATAAAACAAATATAAAGCTCTTTGCAGAAAAATCTCCCAAATTAGAATTATTCACTAAAGTGCACATTGTTGTTATTCAAAGTGAATTTAATGTGGATTTTTACATTTTAGTCCACAAAAGACAACTTGATAAAATGCAGCTATGTTTTCAGTTTGCTTTAGATTAAATTTTAAAATTCACTTTGAATTCCTGATTTCCATGCTTTATATGTTTATTTATAAAACAGCAAACTGTAGTGACACATTGACCAACAGATACACACTCTGATACCCATGCAGATACACAGACACACAAGCAGATACACACACATAGATACACACTGACACACTTAAAGATACACACCCTGACACCCAGATAAACACCCTGACATGCAGATACACACCTTGGCATGAATGCACACCATTCTTCCTGTCCATCATCCAAAAGTGGGACACCATTTTGCTGGTGTATAACTCTGTACAACACATGCAGATACAAAGACACAAAGATACATACACTGACACACATACAGACACATACACTGACACACAGACACACTGACAAACAGATACACACTCAGATACACAGACACATATACAGATGCACAGCGATACATACATTGACACACATGCAGATACATATCCTGACACACAGATACACACCCTGACACACATGCAGACACAAAGATATATAGGGTATGTATCATTAAGTTTGCCAGTGTATGCCATGTGTCTTTGTATCTGCATGTTTGTCAGTATATGTATCTGTGTGTCAATGTGTTTCTGTGTATCTGCATGTGTGTCAGGGTGTGCATCTGTGTGCAGAGTTCAGTCCTCCTGCGAGATCCTCGGAGTGTTGCCGTGGTAACCCTCGGCAACGCTCCGAATTGCCAAACTCGTGGGAGTAATCTTCTGCCTCCCAGCTCCTCCCTCCCTCTCCTGCAGGCCGCCTTTGATCTCATGAAGGCACACAGCAGGGTCGGCACTGGGATATCGCTGGCCCAGCTAGGGCTGACAGGGGAGATCCTGTGATCTACCCTGTCGGCCCATGTTCATCGTGGCAAACCGGCATGTGCCCGGTTTTCCTGAAGGCTGGGTTCCCAACCCGTGAGGCCGCCATTTCCAAAATTATTTTGCGTACCACCAGGGACACTGAATTGTACTCCTGCTATATACCATAGTAACATTGGTGGTATTTCAATTTTAGTGTTACATGTTAAATCTATTGTTTTCTAAGCCCTCTTTCAGGAACGAAATTTGTCTGTGTGAATTAGCCTGTATGAATTCACCTGTGTGAATTCACCAGTTTTAATTCACAAGTTTTAATTCACCAGTTTTAATTCGCCTGTGTGAGTTCGCCTATTTGAATTCACCTGTTTTAATTCACCTGTGTGTATTTGCCAAAAAATGTTTAATTTTGACTTTGCCCCAAATGTAATGCGTCATCATATATAATGTGCATTCACATTTTGGAAACTTTATTTTCCAAAAAGGTGCTTATTAGATTCAAGTAAAACGGCATTTATAGTTGAGCACTTGGCAGCAGTTCCATTCATCAGAAAACATAAATGAAGCAGCTGCACAAGCAGTCAGCAGCTGCATTCTTGTCCAGTCTCCGAGACAAATACTTTTTTAGTACTGAACCCATATTTATTATTATTGGTATTTATATAGTGTCAACTTATCCCACAGTGCTTTGCAATATTAGATACGATATAACAATTTCACTTTTATATTACTCATAGTATTCGAAGAATGTTAAATAACAAAAAAGATATTCTAATTATTTAAAGTTTACCACTTGTGGTAACTATAAACTGATATTGTTGGTTGTAATCACGCATCTAACTCAGGTTTCATTCCATTATTTACATTACTGCATTAAAGAGGCACTGTCACACCCCAGCCCCACAAAATGAGGATAGATACATAGGTAGGTAGATTGCATCACTAGCTCCACTAACCCATCTTGGAAGGAGCTGGTCCACCCAAAGTAATATCATGAATGCACACCATTCTTCCTGTCCATCATCCAAAAGCGGGACACCAGGAAACTAAGGTGGGATGATGAAACAGGTCCCAAAAATCGTGACTGTCCTGCCAAATTCAGGACAGTTTGGAAGTATGTTTCTACGAGCTCGATTTTGCTGGTATATAACTCTGTACAACAGAGCTCCACAGCAATAAAACTCACAGTAATTTGTTTTTAAACTACAATCAACGTGTTTAGAAATCAGTTTGTGTAAATACATAAATAGTCCACTCACACTTTTAAAATGAAAGTGTCTCTCGGGCAGGACCTAACCATCATGGTAGCGTGGGGTGTCCTATGATTCGACCAAGACCCACTGGTACTGTGACTGACATTGTGGCCTGGTACAATTGGGTGGGAGAAGCTGCCGCTCCCCCGACTCAGAGGTATCCTTACAGCATGAGCAAGCCCCGTTACACCACCTGCATGGGCAGAGAAAGCACACAGAAATTCAGCCGAGATGGGAGATGCTGATTGTCCAAACGACGCTGCACACAATCTCCTGACAAAATTGAACAAACACTTTGAGGCATTCTGGAGGAAGCTGGAACACAAGACTGCCCCTCTACACCTTACTAACCTCGCCTGGAGGAAACCACCTATCTACCATCCACAAGCAGCCCGGCATCGCAAATGCCAACCAGCACCTACCATTATTCCGAGCATGGTGCAATAGGTGGCTAAGACCACAGCAGCAGGCCTTGAAGCGCAGGACAGGCAAGGTACCACCAAAAACTCATGTAGCCAACTACTGTCTGTCAAAACGAGATAAAAAGCTGATCATGACCCGTCCGCCTACATATCTGTCACAAAGCGTGAAGAACCACATAATCTTGGGGGGCTGTATCTGGCCATTGGAGGGCATAGGCTGATTGACGCACCTGGAGACATCTTACAACACCTTATGCCGGACTTAAGGCAGCTAACCTTAGCTCTCATGCATTTTTGTTGTTATGCCTGCATACCATAAGCTGTCTCTATCACCCACTTCTGCTACTCCTAGGGGAATCACTCTAGCAAGTTTAACCCTGTTTACCTCTGATTTTATTCTTACCTCTTATTTTAGTAATGACTAAACTAGGAAGACCAATTTAGGTGCACACAGCCCTTACGCTATTTGTTTTAACAACTGTATAGTGCTGCACCTTGCTTTGCCCACTTTTCTCTCCCTTAAAAAAAAATTGTACGGATGTATTTATACACGTATTTTGCACGTATATCACAGGATATTATTGTTTTACGTTTTAGTTTCTAATCTAAATGCCATCTTTTCATCACTTAGAGGGAACAAATTGTGCATACTTTTATCTGTAAGTGCAGTATAAATACGATTGTGTGTACATATTTTATGTGATCTGTACTCATCCCTTCATATAACATTACTTTGCCATGAGAGAATTATGTCTCTGCACCAGAGATGGTTAAAGTTTGGCTCACCACCTGTGAACCACATTACGCAATTCTCATGCTCCACTAGCAAATGGCTGAGACTGACACAAACACACAAAGTGCCTGGAAAACCACATTAGAAAACAACAGATGGCATAACATTCGTTAGCTTTAACTGGTCTATGCCACATTCACTGAGATAAATCATGGAAAGATAAAGCTACCAGTCAGCCACTGGAGTTGCTTCCTGGATCCTAACAGACGCTTGATTCAATTTCCTATAGGGAGGTCTAATGCGCATGCAGCATTTGCTGTGCATTAGCACCCGCTTGTCACAAGGTGTCGGAGGGACATCGGCTGTGAATAGGAGAGTAACCCTTTATTCATGACGGTGGGGAGGGGGGGCAGGAGGGTGAGGGAGGAATGAAGCAGAGGGAGCCAGGCACCCCAAGTCTCCCAGTAGGTCCAGGAGACTCCCGTATATTTAATGCAGCTCCTTGACACCCCCATACCATATGTAATATCCTGGAAATCACACACATAATTTGACATACAATGTGTGTCAGATTATGTGTGTTTGATTTACGGGCTATTACACACAATAAACTCACTCAATAGCTGCTTCCCATTCCCCCTACCTGATGGGTGTTATTTCTGAACAGGGGCCCGGTCGGATGCCACGGCCCTTTTAGAGTTTGACTGGGCCACAGCCGGTGGAAGGAAGGGGTAGAAGGTCCCAGCTAAAAAGACAGCCGCATGGGAGGGAGGAGGAGGCAGCAGCATTACAGGCAGCATAGAGAGTCTCTATTGAGCAGCTACATTCAGCCTCAGCCCAAACCCCAAAAGGTAAGCTGACAGGTGGCTGCAATGTATGTCAGATTTTGTGTGTGTGCATCTGTGTGTGTGTGTGTTTGTGTGTACGTGCCAGTGTGTGCATCTGAGTCTATGTGCCAGTGTGTATATGTGTGTCAGTATGCATCTGTGTGTATGTGCCAGTGTGTGTATCTCTGTGTATGTGCCAGTGTGTGTTTCTGAGTGCATGTATTTGTGTGTATGTGCCATTGCATGTACCTGTATGTCAAGGTGTGTGTATGTGTGTGTGTGTGTGTGTCAGTGTATATCTGTGTGTGTATCTGTGTGTGCATGTGTCTGTGTGTTAATAGTGTGTGTAAATAGTCATCATTTGTATTGTGTGACTGAGTGTGGGTGCCTGCTGTGGGGGGAGGGGGGGCATGTGGGTCCGGGCTTGGAGGGGTGAATTTCTCCATGTTGGGATGTCTGAGGAGCTATAGTTATAGTATCCATTTAAGAACCATTTACATTTAAC